TACCAATGGTATGAGAGGAGCACAGCTTTCACTCTCAACCAAACTAACATTACTAGCCAATCAGAATGTAAACATGAGACGCGCATAATAGTATCCAACTACAGAGTCGCAGGCCTGATGAATGGAGAAGCGCGACACGTTGAAAAAGCTGCGAGGCGCAATGGTCAAAGATGTCCATCTAATGCATATTTATATAGGAAAACTAATTAAAAAGCAGCGGAGCTTTGTAAACAGCTCAGAGTAATCATGTCATCTCCATAAGAACGATACGATTGCCAGAACAAATTTATTAGGATTTTTGAAAAGGTCCTGTTCACACATGATCTCTTAATGGTAACTTACCGGTGATTTACCAGTAAAGACTGTATGTGTGAAAGGGGCTAAACTCTTCCTCTGCATATGCATATGCTGTGAATTTGAATTGCTTAATGTTCATCTGGGAAAACAGTGTGCATTATCTCACTAGATTTGTAACGTAAATCATTTATAAACCTTTGCCAACACAGGAGAATACATAATCTAAATAAATATGTCTAAATAGGCCATGTATTGTACATCGCGATTTCAAAATAAAAGTTTCTGAGTTTGCATGTGCCCAAATATTAAAATTTAATGGATTTAAACATCGTTGAATCACGCTGTAAAGTGAAACGTCACCAGGCTGTTGCTGCCCTCTGCAGGTATTCGTTATAATACATAATGTGCTTAAGGTGGTTATGTTCATATTATGTATAGGCATATTGCATTATGTATTTTAACAGTGTTGTTCAATAAAACCATGTAATTACTTGGTTTTGATATTTTATTTGAGCCAATTATTATTGCCTCATCGTTAGTTTATATATAAATAGTCATACTAAAGCCTGGTTTTCACTTAGGTCTGTTTGTTACTAAAAAATATCAGATTACTCAGTTGTCAAAATAATAAGTAGATTACTTGATTACCAAAATAATCTTTAGTTACAGCCCTAGATTAGTTAAAATATTTCAAAATACAACTGCATGGCCGTGTTTGATGAGAGCGGCCAGGCTCGCGATTCCGCTGGCAGAGATCCCGCTGTTGCCGAGGCGCAGCGTAGACTGTTGTCATGGGGATCGCAAGTGGATTTAGCAGAAGGATCCGAGACGCTAGATCCACGGCTCCCTCTCAGGGATTGGAAGCCCGCGCTGTGGTTTCTTCCCCCCGGAGAGAGAGTCAGGCACTTCATCTATCTTCCTCCAAGGAGGTGGATGTGATGAGTGTCGAGACAGAGGAGACTGTGGACTCGCCACCACA